TCCAAATGCAAAGTTGTCTTCTTTACATGGTGTCTTTGGGCAGAGGGGGAGAACCAACTCATCACAAAGACCAGCAGCATCTGGGGCTTCAAAAAGGCAGCTGTTGCACATACAGCTGGAGCTGGGGAGAAATGGGCAAGCCTAAAATTCATCTCACTCTCTGGGGTGGACACCAAATGCTGCCCCTGCTGGTTCAAGAACTTATCTGTATTCATCTCCTTTTGGTCTTTTCTGAGGCTTCCTATGCCTTCCTTGACTTTAGATTCTGATCTGTTTTTATTTGATGGTTCCTACTGCTGGGAATATAGGGATTTGTATAGTGCCAAAAGTAGTGTTATCAGAGGAGAGGGTCTGGGGAGGTTGGATACCCGCCCTTAACCCCATTCTCTGCCAGGTTCCTGACTCCACTGCAGGAAAAAATTCAAAGGCTGAGTCAGAATAGAAAGCGAGAACAGGTTTAATGTGAAGAATAAGAAATACACACTTCACAGGCAGAGTGCAGGCTGGCTTCAGAATGAGCACAGCCCAGCCTCCTTCCTGGATTCTACCTTTATAGTTGGCTATTCTATGCATATAAATGCTATCTAATGAACTAAGCGGGTAGTTCCTGGTTATGTAACTGGTTATGTAACCTAGCCTTGCACATGCTCTGTTTGCTTTTTAGAGCAGGTTCAGTGGTCAAATTCCAACATAGTCACTGAAAAATACTCAGAATATATTCAGTGCTCTCTAGTGCCTCCAGTGGAAGGTCATTCAAAGATAAACTGCTTATTGAGCATGCTTGGCCGCTAACATTACGAAAGTCAGCTTCCTGTGGTCTCAATCTCCCTGTGTTGGTGCTGAAAATAGGTGCTACATGCAAAGTAATTCAGGGCCTAGAGGAGGGGCTGGAGCCATAGAGGAGGGGTTTGAGGCCCAGGGAAATGGCCTGAAACCCAACCCCAGGGAGACTGAGCACCTCCTATCTCAGTAGGAGAGAATAATGCAAACCTCCCTACATGCTGAGACTTACCAGCATTTCCTTTACTAAAACACAACCCCATGGAAGTTTTTGGCACAAGTATTTTTAAACTACTTGATTTCATTTTTCATAACTGAGCATATTCTAATAACCCAGGATTACTGAATCCTTTTCCTTCCTTGTAATGCTTCTAAACCAAATATATAACTGTCAACTCTTTTAACTCTACTCCAAGCCAAGGAAGGAAAAATCCACTGAAGAGTTGAAAATAACAGAAAATTTGGAATTTGGGTTCAGAATCGAATGCTCCCTGGGCTGGTGCCTCTTTCTCTTTTCTTTTACCATGCAGCAAAGGAAGAATATGATTTAGAAGCAAAGCTACATGGAGCTTGTTTTCTTTATGAGACCAAAAGAGAATTACATTTCTCATTACATAAGAAATTAGAACTCTTAAGGACCTGTTCTGAGTCTCGAGCCTAACGAATATTAAGATTTTTCAGGAACAGAGGAGCTCATTTGTGGGAGCAGGGACTTACTAGAGATCCCCTTTCTTCTGCCTCATACAGCCCTACCAAGGAAAATACATTCTGGTGAAATTTGACCCTGAACAAAGTACCTCATTTGAGTAAACAAAATCTCTCTCCATTACTCCCTTTGTCCTGTCCAATATCAGCTTCAATTTTCCAGGGCAACATCACTCCAAGTCTTTTTTGATAGAATCTACATTTAAAAAAAAACACTTTTGTTTATTTTTACCCCAAAGCGTTTGGCATTTCTCTCCAGTGAGTCACACTATGGGATCATTTCAAAATGTCCTCCTTAAAGAACATTTCTCTTCCCAGGAGAGATAGGAAATTGGTAAATGACAGCTTGTCCCAGCATGTTACTGTGCGGCATGTGGGGATTTTAATAAAGAAACGCCATTTCACACACATTTGATAGATGGACTTACAAGGGAGACAGCCTTCTATATCTTTCCCTGACTCTACAGAGACAAGATGGGAAAACTAATGGCTGATCATTTAGGGATTTATTCCAATCAGTTTAATATGGGATTCAGTCCTTCTATTCCCTCCATTACAGAAGTTTAGTGCAATCATTTGTGAATTCAGATTTTTGCAATAAAATATTTAAACTATTGAAGGTGGGAGAAAAAATAAGAAGAGAGAAGGTAGGTGTAGGGTGTGCTCAGAACCTCATTATTGCGCAGAACACTAACTTATATTCAGGCCTTTGCCAGTGCCCCTCTGCCCCCCGGTACATCTCCAGTTTTCCTCCCCACTCCTTGGTTTGGAGTCATCGGTCACTCCCTGTTCTCTGCTCCTGAAGCAATTAGGACCTTCCTCTATTAAAGCACATAGCATGATGGGATTATAGTTATTTTTACAGTGGTCACTCGTTTCCTTTTGCACACTCCTTCTTCCATTTAGAGGGTCTCAGAAGCAGGGGAGTGGGCTAGATTTGTCTCCGTACCTTTAGCACCCAGAACAGGTCCCGGCACCTGGAAAGCTTAATAAGCACATGCTGGTGTAGCATGGTAAGCATGGCTGAACTAGGAATTTCTGTTCACAGTGCTGATGTGGGTATCTGGATTTCCCTTTTCTCTTTATATGACATTCCCTCTCCCCCATTCTCTCAGGCACTTCCTTTCCTCCTCTAATTTATGTATGAAAATTTAAAGTATCATCAAACATTACTAGATGGACATGTGAGTTTTGATTGTAAATATTCACTGGTAAATTACCAGTGTGTATTTCCATTGCATGTCAAAATGTAGAGACTGGCTTTAATCTTTCTACTGAGCTTTGACGTCTGCATGTGGTTGAAAATTTTTTGGCTTTTGGGTTCCTTTCTTCTAGTAACAACACCCTGTTGTGGTTTTTTTTGGTTGGGGGGTAATTTTCTCTCCCCCATTGGGTGCAGTATTGGTGGTACTGAGTTCAGGGTAGCCCACCCTCCCTTATCCTGGGATGAATTATTAGTGGTCATCATTGGTTTTGGTGTGGGAAGTTTTTAATTTTTAATTTTGCAATGAACAATTCATACTTTTGCAATTTGAAAATTAAAGATTTAAGAAAAAGACTGATATTTTCCCAAAAGATCTGGCTAGGTACAATGAAGTTCTCTGTGAAATCCGTTTGAGCAGCAACCACAGCCCTGGCCTGTTCTTAAACACACAGAGCCTGGGGGAATGTAGACAGCCCTGCGTCTCACTTCTGAAGTTGCCAAAAATCCCCTTAAAATGATTGAACAGATGTCTTTCCTTGGGTTCAAGCGAATATAAATTACAACGGTCTGCTTTTAATTCCTAGGCTTGGTGTCCTAGGGGCATGAAAATCAATCACTTTCAGGTTTGTTTTCCAAATGTTTTTTAAATCTTCAGAATTTTAATAGCAATAACCACTACAATATGCAAGAAAAACTAAGCACACTATGCAGGTAGCTGCTGCACCCCGGGGCACACACTTCCTGTGTGACAGTGGAGTTGAACAGGCATCCACCACGCATCTTTGCACCTGGCCCTGTTGTCCCCTCAAGGGCCTAGCATGAAGAATGGGATGGTTATTGAGGTTAGAACCAGAGGCTTAAATGGCAGAAGATTGACACAGCCATGGCCTGGATATATCATCAGCAGTAAGAGCAGGGATCTTGTTATTCCTAAGAAGAAACATAAGAGCACACTAAACTTTCCTCAGTAAATCAGTTTAAGTCAAGAAACTTGTTGCAAGATCTCAGCCTTTGGTTTCTGGCCTTACCTATCATATTTCTGGTGGCATGAGAAAAGAGAACTTGGGAATTTCATATAAATAAATAGCTAAATGAAAGTTCTTAGCCGTTTTCAGATAATCACTATTCTGATTTATATTAGCTCTTGTTGGGTGGAGTGGACAGTGTGCATCTAAAAGTTTCTGAGAATCTGGTTTCCACCACTTTCAAAATAAAGCACATTTTACATGATGATACAAGCCTGACCCTAGATGGGGTCATTGATATTTACCCACTGATGTCATCAGGTGAGGAAGAGCTGAGGGCTCAGGAGGAGGGAAAGAGGATGGGCTTGAGGAACAGAGCCCTGGCTTTGAGTCCCAACTGGTTCTGCCACTAGCTGTGGAAACTCAGGTGTGCCTCTGTGTGCGTGTGTTCATTTCTTACATGACGAAGTCACACCCCAAATAGGTATATTTATTTCTTCATTTATAAAGTAGGGCCGGCCCGGTGGCGCACTGGATAGTGCGCCGCTTGGGAAGCGCGGCGGCGCTCCCGCCCGAGGGTTCGGATCCCACATACAGACCGGTTCCCGCTCACTGGCTGAGCGAGGCACGGGAGCAACGACGAGGGTTGCGATCCCGTTGCCGGTCCCCGGTCCGGTGCGGGGGCAACACTGAGGGTTGCGATCCGTAGCCGGACACGGAAAAAGACAAAAGACAAAAAAAAAAAAAAAAAAAAAAAATGGCTCTTATAACTAACGTGGCCTACAGGCTGTCTGATACATGTGTACACTTCAAATGAAGCAACACACTCAAAAAAGTTTTTAAAAAAGGCAAAGATTAAGAATGTTCTGCTTATTGTGAATTGGTACATCATTACATATACATAAGATTTCTATTTCAACAAATTCCAAGCTACTGTTCATGCTAATACTATATACATTTGAAAATCTCTTCTCCACAATTATTATAACTTCACCCATTTCATTGGTGGTGTAATTCAATTATTCCTATCCAATAACATTTGCCAAACACCTTCATATGACAAACTCTTCTGTTACTTATAGAACAAAATGCTGTTACAACTTCCTTGATTTATTGCACTTTTCACTTAATCTTAAAAGGAATTAAAAATTTCTACTCATAACCCCCAAATCTCATTTATCCATCTGTCTGAATCAGTGTCACAGAAGCCATTCCTGCCGTCCTTCAGTTAAATAACGTAATTCTTACTCCTGCAGTTAATTTTGTAAGAAACCATCTCCCACAAAACAAAAGCTCACTTCTTTCACAAATAATTTTTATTGATAAGAAACATCTTGCAGATATAAAAAGATAATTTTCTTATTCATATGACATTTTTAGTTTTTAAAATTTTCTTTTCAAAGATTAAAACCAACTCCTGTTGTTCTCTTTTAGGAAAGTAGTTTATCAGTGATAAGGATCCCATCCTCTTTCAAAAATGAATCGATTAATCATGTCAAAAGCTCTCCTAGGCTGGTCATAGGGTAAAATATGTCCTCCACCTCGAACAATTACCTTAAAGAAGAAAAAATTAAAAATGGAAAGTTAGAGACATCGATACACTTCTCCCAAATACTTCAGCATCATATTATTAACCAGAGTTCAATGTGTGTTTATAGATTTTCTTTTGAGTAAAGTGGATACGATGAAATGTACTAGTCTTAAGTGTAGACTCACCAGTCTTGACGAATGTGTACATTTGTGTAACCTGAGCCCTTGTCAGGCTGTATAAAGCATTCTTAAAACATGACTAGTTGAAGTGAGTTCACATCAACACAGGGGCCCACCCTTGAGCTACGCTCGATGAGGACAAAAAAGGGAACTGGTCTTTATACTCTTTAAGCCTCTAGCATCAGCAAATATCGCAAGTAGAGGAGCAGGGGAAGTCTTCCTGATTCAGTGCCTAACAGGCAAGTACTGACACCGAGTGTGTGGAGGTCACACGCAGAGACATCTGTGTGGTCTGAGACATGCTGTTGCATAGGTGGAGGACCCACAGGAGTCACTAGTGGATGAAGTGAGGAAATATATGCAAATAAGAATCACTTCCAGTAACTTCTAGCTGAGTCACAATTAGCAATTAAAGGTCACTTTCACAAGGCCCTTCGTAAGAGTTTGGATTCTTTCACCTGCCTCAATCTGAAGGGAACTGAAGCAGGAAAAAATACAAATATATTTGCATAATACATTTATTAAATTAAGAAATCTTCCCCCACCCTCCAACACCCACCACCTTGCTATAAGGTAAGTGGGATCAGCATTGTTACATAAATTTTACCTTGCAGCTCGCTGCTGTACAAGTTGCACGCTGCACAACTACAGGGGGCACCATTCACATCGGCATCAAAGTGACTGAGTTATTTGGAGCTACCAGTGGCTTGTCCAAGTCACAGTATTAGGAGATAACTAGCTAGGACCCTGACTTCTGGTACTAACACTGGTGTTTTTAATCAAATCATCGTACTTGCACAGTAATTCCTTACCTTTGAATTGAAATTTACAGCTTAGTTGGAGAACATTTTGACCCACTTCTCAATAGCCCTCTGAAGTAGGTAAGGGAAGCAGATCACCATTTGCAGATGTGCGACTGGATTTACCCCTCTCACATACAAATGGAAACTTCTGCTTTATGCTACGCTCAATCAATGGTCGTTTGTGCCTCATTGCAATGACAGTGGAGCCCATCTACCATTTGTGTTCAAGCTTGCATTTGGAAACTCATGTCCCACTTTTTGTCACAGACTGAAAGTAAACATATGTGTGACAAGAGCCTCTTCATGTGACTCTGGAGGAACACTTTTGTTGCCCCACAATCTCAGTGTAGATTTTCTTCCTGTAGATTCTCATCCAAATTTCTGGCCTCTGCAGGAATCTGGTGATTGATTTCTGGGCAATTTCAGCTCAGCCAAGGACACTTAACAAAGGCATGTGTGTGACAAAACCCAGCTGCTTCAACTGGAAATGAGTTTGACAGCAGTGGCCTGGAACAGCAGTAAGCTGAATGCCCAAGAGCTACGGGTCATCCTGCCTCCAGAACCCAAGCTGCAGCTGCAGCTGGCGAGGGATAGCATGGTGCTCTACAGTCAGAGTGCAGAAGCATGACAGGAGTCACACAAGCTGTGTAACCTCAGGCAAGTAACTTAACCTCTCTGAGCCTCAGTTTCCTTACTGCACAATAAAGAAATGTTACTTCTTGGGATAATTGTGACTTGTGTGAGGATTTAATGTAACAGTGTCCATGGAATGCTTAGCACAGCGCCTGGCCTGAATGGTAGTCAATAACTATTAGTCATTATCATTAGTCTTCCAACAATTATCCCTATTCAAAATCCAGAATCATGATGCCTATATTATCCTAACTACTCTAGAACATCCTGTGTTCTATACATTCACATCAAGTATATTGACTTATCCCTGAACCGGCCTGTTGCCAACCCCCCGCCCCCAAAACAAAAACCAAAAAATGTTAGCTTAAAGGAATTGTTTAAAACAGTGGTTCTAAAACTTGAATGGGAATAAAAATACTCGGGCTTATTAAAACAGATTGTGAGGCCCCATCCCCAGACTTTCCAATTTCTGGGTGGGGCCTAAGAGTCTGCATATCTGACAGTTCCAAAGTGATGCTGATGCTGTTGGTCCAAGCACCACTTGTTGAGGACCACTACTGAGAACTTTTTCTATTCTATGGCAAAGCAGAGAATTCTCTGTTGACAGCAAGGGAGAATACAAGTAGAAATTTGTTAAACACTGATTTGTGGCCTCACTTTATTTCTCTGATATTGACGCTCTCCTGGTATTTACTCACACGTGCACTTACACCTCCCATGTCTGTAACAATAAAGTGGTGAGGAAGAGGCGAAAGGAGTCTGCTGTTAACAGGTCTTACTCTCAGCGACCCCCTCACCTGGCTCCAATTTCCGAGCTGCCATATGTAATGACCCAATGACACCGTAAATAGATCATTTAGATCAGAAAGAAAAGCTCATTAAGGAACAAAGGCAATTTCACATGCCACAACATTCCCAAAGTATGTACTCAAGAAGATTCACATAGAGAATTTTACTGATGTTAACCTCAAAAATAAATTTGTGAGTGCTGAGAAATGAACCACTCTGTTGTTTGTAGCCACGCATCTCACCACTCACAAAGCAAGGACACACACACCACTCTGCAACTTTTAGAGGTGTGTAACAAAATGTGGCAGGGCCATGATTACATATTTAAATGTGACAAGATTAATCTCAAGGCTTCCAGGATAGAAACGGTCTCATCACCAGAAACTGTATACTTTTGGGTGCCTCTGAACTGGAGCTGACGCCTCTAAACTCATGTGTTCCAGATGTTCCAGGGGGTCACAAATGGGTCATGAATTTTAAAAGGGTTATACAAATACTTTAATACATCTCTCCATTTTGTTTTTTAGAAAATGGTACAATTCTCCCTGGATTTAGAAACACAGACCTAGCAGTAAAGGTTTCCCAATTGCGCCTTTTTAGTTGACAGATATAGGGGGAAATTCACAATGGGCTTGTTGATGTAGATGTGTCAGGATACTTTGTAGGGGTCTTGGAGGAGTAGATCACTGGACAGACAATGGGGGGTGGGGCAGGGGTGGAGGGACACTCTGCAGACAGGAAACTGCGCGTGTAGACACAGGGGGCATGAAAGGGCATGTGCGAGCAGTCTGCAAGCAGTCCCATTCATGAAGGAGGAGTGCGGAAACAGGGAGAGCTGCACAGGCAAACACTATAATGGAACCATGTGACAAGCTGAGATTGGTGGACCTTATCCTACGGGGTTTTCTTTTTAACTGTGATAAAATACACTTAACATGAAATTACCATTTTAACCATTTTAAAACGCACAATTCAGCAGTATTTAGAACATTTCTCATGTTGTGTAACCATCATCATTACCTAGTTGCAGAATGTTTTCATCACCCCAAAGGAAACCCATTCCTTATTAGTAATCACTTCCCACATCCCTCTCCCCACAACCCCTGGCAACCACTAATCTGTTTTCTGTCTCTATGGATTTGCCATTTCTGGATATATCCTAGAGGGTTTTAAGTAGGGTGGTGACACGCTCAGATTTGCATTGTAGAAAAATGACATATTACCTGATGAGGAGGCTGATTTGGAAGGGGCAAGTAGGCAAATTAGGAGACTACTGATCAGGTGAGAGATGATGTGGGCTCATAGGAGGGACAGTGAGACAGGGAAGGAGAAGAGGGTGTTGGGATGGAACCTATAAAATTAGTGATTAATCAGATGTAAAGGTTAAGTGAGACCCCCTCCCCCCAATCTTCCCCATTTCAGTCTTCTGACATGAGTAGATTTGCAAAGGATAATGCTACTGACCAGAAAAGGAGACTAGAGGCATATGGCAGATGTGAGTTTGGGAGGTGGATTACGTAGGATAAGTTTATAAGTTAAACCATAAGTTTATGGTTCCCGTTTTCCACCACAGAACGATGCATACACTCAAGAGAATCTTGCTTATAATGGTTTCTGATTTACATTAAAGCTCTTTTACTATTTTTATTCCATCCTACATTTACTAAATCTTACTGTTAGCTTTGAGACACTAACTATGAGTAGAAATAAAATAAATATGCACTCAAATAAAAAATATATTAAAAAGAAAAGGTACTTGAGAATGAGAACAAAAAAGAAGCTGAAGCTTGTTAGCAGACACCTCCTAATAAAGAATGAGGCAAGTCACTTCCAAAAAAAAGTTTCCCTGAACTTTTTGAAGTACCCTTGTATTGTAATTTAGGATTTCCATTTCTGACTGTGACACAAGAGCTTGTATCAAACCAACCCCACACCACGGAACAATGATAGAAGCTTCCAAAAAAAAGTTTCCCTGAACTTTTTGAAGTACCCTTGTATTGTAATTTAGGATTTCCACTTCTGACTGTGACACAAGAGCTTGTATCAAACCAACCCCACACCACAGAACAATGATAGAAGCTGAATTAAAAAGAAAAGGATGCTGTTTAAAGGTATTATAAAGCAACCAGAACTTGAGAGGCCAAGATCCTCTAAAAATGAGCCTCACGTTTTGTGCTGCTTTTCCCTCTGGGAAATTCAGCAATTTCTAAGCTTTTCTGACTGAGAAGCCAAGCAAAACGTGACAGATGAAAGAATGAAAGCTAAGCAGAACTTTTAGCAGTCATATGGTGCTTGAGAGACCAAGAAACAAAAACAAAGAAAACCCCAAAGGAAACAAAAGAAAATTTGGAGTTGCAGATCTCTCAAGGAGGTATAACACTGGTGAACACCACAGGCTTTCCATTAGACAATGCCTTAGAAGGAATGAAAAACCAGAAACAGGTTAGCCCTCACAAACCCTGAAATCAGCACCAAACCAACTGTCACGTTTTGTGCTGCTTTTCCCTCTGGGAAATTCAGCAATTTCTAAGCTTTTCTGACTGAGAAGCCAAGCAAAACGTGACAGATGAAAGAATGAAAGCTAAGCAGAACTTTTAGCAGTCATATGGTGCTTGAGAG